AGGCGACCCCACTGCGGTGAGACACGTCCGGGCTGCCGAATGATTTCATTAAAGAGATGAGCACCGATGAAGTGCAGTAGGCGAGACAGCAGTTGGACCATAAAGGCCGGATTCACGGCGTTGGCTTGCAGGGTATCCAGGGCGTCGGTTAGCTTTGCCAACACGGGGTCCGGCTGCTCTCGGGGTAAAAAGATCAGATCGAAATAAGCATTAGCCTGGGCATTCAAGGCAGAATGTACATTCTTTTGAAGACTAGGATGTGTACGCAGGACGATAATGTGCACGAATGCAGTCCAGTCGCGTAAGGATCTGATAAAAACCTTAAGAAATCTGTCACTTTCACTCGATTTTTATTGTCTCTGCGGCATGTAAATAATTTCACTGAATCTGAAGCATGGTTTCCCGTGCATGAATTTACAACAAACGCATACAGCAGGTGTTGGGACAGCCCGGACGCGAGTTATCACTCGGGCAATCCTGAGCGTACCAGGACAAAGGCACCTTACTGACGACCGGTTCATGCAGTTACAAGCGACCTTCAAAGGGCGGACATAAGGCCAGGACAAAGGAGACAGGCGCAAGCGAGACTGCGCCGGGACCGGTTTGCTGTTGTCTGGAGGTCACGCTGAGGACAGATGCACGGGCGCGCACAAGCAAGCGCGCGGACAGCCACTCGTGAAGAGCTAATGGCGAACAAGGACTACTGACCCTTAAATATGCTGCCACCGCTGAAGGCTGTCACCCTGTGCTGGAGACGCTGCCGGTGACCCGAGATTCTACTGCTAGTGACAAGACGTGCTGTTGGCCGTGACGAGGTACCGACGACAGAAGACAGAGCTAATGTACAAGCAGAACTAGTAACAGTAAAGTACTGTTCTGCCTTCTCTTCCTAACACGTAACTGGGGGACATAAACAATTTTGACACAGGAACACACTCGGTTATAACATTGGCGATGCAGGTGAGACCAACCAAGGATATAACCGGTGTTGACACAGGAGCACACTCGGTTATAACAGCAGGATTTGTTGGTCCTAGTAAATTGCGCAATAGCTTTTCAACCACAGCCCGTCTTTAAATTGACAGTTCAACCGTCGATTTCGACAATGTCCACCACGAGCTTCAGCGAGTTGACAGCAAACGCGGTGACCTATGCGGGCTTATAGTGAAAGTAGACTCGCGGAGAATCTAACCCACTCTTTCACCATTCCCACACCGGATCCGATGTGAAGACAAAAGTCAAGAAGACTGGAAATGGGGTAGAGCACAGGCGGCTGGCGAGGCCAACACTTAACACGCGTACCAACAGCACACCTCGCTATGTAGGCTCCCGCCTGGGAGCGCCGTAAAGGCCACATTAAGAAGAAACCATTGAGCCCAACTCTCCGCCCGCAGTAAGCCACTCCACACAACAAGATACACAGTGGGCCGACTGCGGCGTCCATGTTATCTCGTCAGTTGGCAACCATTCAAGCCACGGCTTTTAGCGCCCCGCGATAGTTTTTAGCGCATCAGTCTGTTTATAGTGAGGAAAGAAATGCGCTGAGGGTTGACCTCCTTTTCTCTCCACCACCATTAACAGGCCACTGCCTAGCTGATCGGTCGCCTGAGATCTTTGCATTACATAGATAACGGATGGAATCAAACAGCCTTTTTGGATTTCCACAGAACGTTAATGCATAGCAACAGGAGACGTGGTTCACTGCGAAGGATGATCAGATGTAAGACGTTAGGTTAAATCATCATATAGGAAAGTAAAATGGGCCGCAGGATTCTCACCTCTCGCGAGAATTTCGGCTTCCTAAAATTTAAATGTGTGACCGGCTCTTGTCGAATGAGTCGCAACTTGAAGATTGGCATCATTCCTCCACATTGCCACACTGCACTCGACGCCAATTCTCATGTTGCGGCTCCTTCGACGAGACCCGATAACACATTCAAATTTGATGAGGTCGAAATTCTCGCGAGGGGTGAGAATAATTTGAGTCGCGAATTACTCGAGTCATGGTTCACGAGCCCCCAGTCTATAAACAAGTGCAAAAATCTGCCCAATCCATTTTCGGTGCCGAGGCTCAATTTGGCCAAATCAAGTTTCCCCTTGGGGAACGCACATTTCAACGCGTCGTCTAACGCCAGATGGCCGAGCAATCCTCACGTCCAATTCCCCCATATGTGATGAAATTTCAGCACGTAACCACCCGCACGCCGGTCGTCAAGCCATTAGCGCACTGTCCTCTAGTGGGGAGTCGTTAGTTGTCAGAGGTTGCAGTAGCATAGCGACTGTATCTTATGAATACTGCAACCCCATGTATATGAATTACCTGTTTCTGTTATTATCTCTGATGATGATCAGCGACGGATTTCGAAACGTCAGGTGAATAAAATTCTTCTCTCAGCTATCGCATTCACATTTTATCTATTGTTTCCTGGGACTCGTGTGTTCGCTTCTATTGGCATACGATCAATCTCAAATTTCCTTGCTGTCTTGTGCGGAGACTTACACACTGCTGTGATTTATATTAAATTCAACCCCATCTCTTTTAGAGGGCAAATATATATTCCCCCTGCCAAACTGTCTGATGTAATTTGTGGTTAAAAATCTAATCCTTGGTTAGCGAGCGCAAACGAATACTTATTGTGTTGGAAGTTTCCACAACTAATACAGTAAAAAAATCTATACTTGTTTCAGTGCGCTGAATAGAATCAAATCCATCATCCTAAACTCCTGTTGCTCAGGCAATTGATGACTATTGAGGAAAATTCGACCTTATATTGGCGGAATTAAACGGAAAATAGAAAGTCGGGTTACAGAAAATGTAAAAGTAAGTTATTTTTAAAAGAAAAAGACAAATACGACCTCTAAAGACAGTCCTACTGTTTAAAATAACGTCTTTCATCTGATCATCATTTGCAGTGAACCATAACTCCTGCTATTATGCATTGACATTCTGTGTAAATTCCACGTACAGCGTACTTTTCCTTTGTTATCTAAATCATTTAAGGACAGGCTACAGTTGAAAATCCGTCACGAATTTTGTTGTACCTAATAGATCCTGCTGTACACGCCTGTTTAAATTTCAATGCAAGCAATATTCCGAAATTTATGTGGGATAGAATTCGTTTGAAGGGCGCAGAAACGACCAGAACGCTTTATACTTTGCCAGAGTCGCACAAACAATTTTCGTTATGTCCACGTTCACTGTCCTAAGCGTCCGCAGAACAGAGCTAAATTACATTATCGTCCAGTCTAGCCTCAGCTATCGAATGAAGGCAAAATCCAAGAATTCGGACGTCAGCTTCATTCACGTGGAAGCGTTGCGTCACTAATCTGATTACGGGGAGTGAGGGTGAGAGGCGAGGGAGTGGAACACGTTCGTTCGGTATTGTCATAGAGTTGGAGGGTAGAGGTCTCGCAGGCGTCTCAAGAGCGCGAAGTGGTCGACCATGCCAGCTTGCAGCGGAGCGGTGACTCAAAGGTCTGACGAAGAACTGCAACCGGATACAAACTTCACGTCTATTTGGCCGTGAACAAGCGAGTGAAGGCAAATAGATCAGAAACTGCAATCCCAGCCCTCATCTATCTTGTCCTTTTTTTCTACATTGCTATTCTACTGATCTAAGGTCGGCCATGCTTGTAAGGAGTCCAGCGACGAGTACTCTCAAGCGGACGTAACGGCCTAGAGCATTTAAAGTATTCCGCTGTTGAATCGTGGCAGACAGGATTAACGAGACCTTCTTTACGATAGCGTTTTGGTATTCAAATGTGCACCCTAGACATTCAGCATCGACTCGTTTAAAGTTTCAACTTTGCAATTAATGCACGTTTGTGAAATCCACTGTACGCTCCTTCGCAAGTCATTGCTCTCTGAATTATTTTTGGCATGCTAGAAGGATATTTCTTTCTTTTTGTAGTTGTAAAACACATCTGGATCCGAAGGAGGAGATGTGGTCGCTGCAACGAGAAGTATATTTGCCTGATATGTCAATGTCTGGGTTGAACCGATTATCAGGGGAAACCGCAAAAAATAAATATACGGATGCCCGCGGGAAACAGTAACTCTATATGAACAGGCCTAAGAAAACAACAGATAGAAGCGGACATGTATATCCATAATGACTTCTCTGGAAGTCTTCCAGTTGTGATCGCATTCAAAAACGTCTTCTGTGACCAGAATTAAATAATTTTATGAGTCGCCAAACCAGGCTATTTAAGGTGGCCTGGGATAATTTCGAATGTATGTTAATTTACGTTGACGCTGGTACTTCCTACGAGCACGTTTACACGAGCAATTAGTGGCATTCTAGCGTCGCTCCGAACAGGCTGAACTCACATGAGGCCCAAGCTAGTGTCTGTCAATAACCTTGATCGTCTGAAGTAGACTTTTGAAAGGTGATCGAGATAACGAGGTTATTGATTTTCGAGTTTTCCATCGGGACTATAATCTTGAGACAAGGTTTTAAACCCTTGTTGGGGTTACACACTACACAATACTAGCAGCGCAGGTACTATTTAAAAGCCCCCTAGTTCAACTCTTAATAAAATTTATTTACTCCAAGTTGGCAACTATTTCTGAGGAAATTAGGAAGCAATGTGCCTTTAGCTAGTAGCTTCGCCGTATGCTACTTGTAGCCTACTGGCAGTTTGATGAATATTGCGCGGCCACCCCACTGCGGTTGATGAACTTCGGTCTAAACACTCATATCAATTATTGGTCTGCGTTTATGAACATATTTTTTAAACTGATGTTATCATAAGTAGCGATTAAAATCTATGGAGATTAAAAATCCACAATTTTGGATACTAATACACTTCAGTAGAGTGACTTCCCGCTATAGGCGATCCGTCACATGACATGAAATAAGATAGACAATAAAGAAACATTGTCAGACAATGTGATAATCAGTATGCTCAAAGACGGAAGACATAAAACAATATTGACGGATTACTCCTGGTTAATCTAGTGCCCTTTATCATACCCTGTGATGCAAGTGGACCGCAATTACATAGGCCAGACCACAGGTCGCAATGCTATATGAGTTCGAAAGTGCAGTTAGCAGGGCGGATACACTTCTGAAGGTCGCTGTGGACATCAGAAAAGCATCGAGTGAACTGGTTGTCTAAGCGTGCAGTGCTGGACCGTAAACGGACAAGCTGTAGGGGTCTGAGCAGTGGTTGTGCCTAGATCACTATAATCCTCAGGTCGAATCCCAGGTTGGAAATTAAAAGACAAGAGTCACCAGAAGGAGTGGTTTATTGTATACAGAAATCCCAGTTGCAGTCTCAGGTGGCAGTGGCCACTGGCGAAGCCAGGGCTGGTCCTGACTGCGTCCAGTCAGGCCTGTAAGTGTCGACTGTCCGTTGTGTGGGGTGATGACAGTTGCTTTTACATGACTGTGAAGCGAGTTCAAGTGTTCTGTCATTGGTGTGTTACAATTGCCCGAGCGGATGTCGCCTGCAGAGGTCTTTGCTGCATCAGCCGAGGGGTGTCTTAGTCAAGTGGTCCTTAGACAGGCGCACTTATTCGGACGCACCTGTGTACGGACTGAGTTAGTTGAGGTGAACTATCGGGTTCACCGGCACGCCGAATAACCGGGGGCGTTGACGCAGCTGTTACCGGTTAGCCAGAAGCAGCTGCGAGGTCAA